TAAACTGAGCAAAGCAATATGATTTGCCGCTTCCAACCATGAAATAATGGTTTAACATATCCAACATCTATACCTACAATATACATATGTATGTATTCATGCTACATTCATACCTTGCAGTGAAACTCCAAACTAGTCAGGAAAAATACTAGTTTACAACTGACAGAAACCGAACTAGTTCAAAAATTACCAGACTTGTACGAAGGACAAAACGATTTATTCATGCCATGTTTTACTTCGACAGTTTAATATAATAGAGTACACAAAATATTATAACTTATAACTTTATTTTTAACTAAAATGTTTTCTTTTCCATATTCAATATAATTAAAAAAGATAAAAATATTATATTTATTGTACCTGAAAGCTTTTACTTTTAATATCATTTAATGGAAAATGCATTTAAATTAATGTTGGAAAATTTGAAATATTTATGTATTTATTTTTCCTTTTAACTAATACTCAAAAAATGTAACACTAATTATTGGAAAATCTAACACTGCTAAATAAAAATGTGTAATGTATTAATGTGTACTTAATCAAAAGTTTTTTTTTTTTATTGTATATATCCAAAGAAGTGTTTTGGTCAAAAATTCGACCAGTATTTTTTTGTCTAGTTTGAACTAGTATGAGACTGGTATATTTCTGACCGAAATCTGACAATTGCCATCTCGTTAATTGCATGGAAAAAAGATAGTTGGCTGACTAGTTGGGCATGCGGCTCATACTAGTTGTGAGGTAGTTTACAACTAGTACATTTGACTATAGGGTAGCTTATCGTATTCAGTGATAAGATTTTCGTAGATGGTTTGATTGATAGCACCGCACATATCCCTAATAGTACAATTCTGGCTTGGATACTTAGTTGAAAGTCTTTTGTAAGACAATTGAAAGACAGTAGCCTAGACAGTTTGAAATATTTTCCTTATTCTGGCACGAACGGCTTACAAAAAAAAGCTCCCTTGCCAACTTTCATGGTGAAGAGCTTTTTTGAGAGAAAGCCGAATGTATTTTAAATTTATTTATTATACCCGAGTGCGATTAAGCGGTGACTGTCTGTCCGTGCGTCCGTCCGTCCGTCTGTGCAAACGATAACTCGAGTAAAAATTAAGATATCTTAACGAAACTTGGTACCTCCCATATAACAATAATTTTTAGAAATACGAAAACTGCGACATTTTATTAACTACTGCAGATTATTCACTCAAAATTAATATTTACAATGATTTTTAGACGAAAAATAAGAATATTATAAATTGTAGAAAAATAGGCGCAGCTACGCCCACTTATGGTTACATGTGTATATCTTGGCAACCGCTGCACCGATTTCTTCCAAACTTGGCACAGTTGTTGGCCTTGATACAGCATACTAAATGGCTGAAAATCTGACAATAACCACGCCCACATCCCATATAACGGTAGTTTAGAGAAATACAAAATCATCGATAAATCAGTAAATATTTAAGCTAATTTATGCAAAATTGATGCTTGCAACAACTCTTTACCAAGAAATACGTTTATGAAAAAATTTTTGGAAAATGGGCGTGGCACCGCCCACTTATGATCACATATATTTATATCGGTAAGCGTTCTACCAATTTGTACCAAACTCGGTATGGTTATTGCGCTTGCGACATAGAAGCAAAACGTTGAAAATTATTGAAATCGGACTAAAATTACGGCCGCTTTTCATATAACGGTAAATTTTAGAAATGCTTGAAACTTCAATATTTCGAAATTTAAGGACGCTAGTTTACTCAAAATTGATACACCTCGGCTTACCATCTAGCGGCAGCTTTCGGAAAGGTGATAAAACATATTTAATACTTCCGCCGGGTATTTAATGAACTTAGACTTTCTTACTTGTTTTTTTTTTTTTTTTTTTGTTTAAATTTTAGAAACTTAGTTTTTAATGATTTTTCTTTTTTTAATTTAATTTTTAGAAATTTATAATTGTTCTTCTTTTTTATTTAAATGTTTTTTAATTAAATATTCTTATTTTTAAATTTTATTGTTTTAGAAGGAAAAATATATATCTATATTTTTTATTTTCATTTAATTATTATTACATTTTTCTTTTTTTTTTAATTTGCCGTTGTAATTAGTTTTTTTAGATTGGTTAATTAAAAAAATAAAAATTTTTTATTAGCTTATTTAGTTTTTCTTCATATTATTTATTATTATCTATTTTTTTCTTTTTTATTTAGATTTCTTTTAATTTTTAGATTTTATTGTTGTGAAAAGAAACAAAATTTTTAATGTAATTTAATTTTAAGAAGATTTTTATTATATATTTTTTGTTTAGTATTTTTTTCTTTTTTATTTAATTTTCTCTTAACTTTTGTTTTTATCGTTTAAATAAAATATATTTTGTTATCTAATTTAATTTTTAAAACACCTATTGCTAAAAGTGAAACAGAATAACGCCAAGACCACCCCGTTAGCTGATCTTTCAGTTAGTCTTTCACAAGACAGAAAAGAGCTTTCAAGATAGTTGTCAGAATTGACAAATATCTTGCCTTGTACCCTGTTAATCGCCGAATTCTTTAAATCAAAACGTTTTTAACCGACTTCATTCAACTAACCAATTCCCAGTAAAAGTTCCGCTCAAAGTTACTATTACCGATGTTATTGCACTTATATCGACATTTAATCAAATTTCAAACACAATGATGACACCAGTTTATACTAGAAGCTTTCAATAACCTTCGTATACATTTCGCACTCACCTTGCTGTGTCTTCACTTGCACCGGTGTGGACATGGGACCGGCTCCCATTGAGGTATACGCTTGCACACGCACCGTGTAAATGGCATGCGGCGTCAATTCCGAAATGGTTGTCAATTCGCTATTGTCCACCATTTGTGAGTCCCAAGATGCCTCCGGTTGATTGGGATTTGTGGTGTAGTAGACTTTGTAGCCCTGTAAATGGAGTGAGAAGGAAGTACAAGGGAATTGAATGGATATTTTACATATATATAGATACGTATGTATATTATGTGTACATATGTAAGTGTATATAAGTAGTTAACAAAAACCGTAGAAGTAAATTCGCAATTTTCAATTCAGATATGCCTACTCCTTGGCATTCCCTTAAGCTGCAATCTTTTATTCTGTAATCTATTGTTAGGCTATTTCAGCACCATTTGATTAACGATACTGACCTATAATACTCGATTCATGCATAATACAGACATACACACGCCTGTCAATCCAAGTAAACTGTAAGTGCGAGTGGCAGTTAACATTTTAGCCTACGGAAAAGGCATTAATCCATTGCTTCAAACTCACACCATAGCACATACACAACCATACATAAGTGCATGATTTTATTTCCTAAGCAGTTTAGCTCAATAGGTCAATTATTAAATGCTGGTTGCTTGCTTTCTTAAATAGCCCCGCTTGCAGGCAGCTAAAGTTGAAGGATTATGCACATACGTGTATGTTACATATGTGTAAATATATATACACTTATGGAATATATGTACATTAGAGCGGGTCTACGTTTCTAGGTGTAATTCTAAGCAAATTTGCCAAAGAAATAGGTTTCCGCAGCACTTTGCTGTAGTGTCGTAAAGAAGTGCTTAAATTTTGTGTAAAAAAGGGGTTTTTTGGTATGAATAATCCATTTCTGCACTTATCTTTTTCTTAAAACTTCCACCAGAGGGCGCAACAGTGAATATTTTCCCATTCTCTTCGAAACGTTTTTTCGCAATTTGGCAAACTCTAAATTGATTTTAGACCTATGGTTTCTTCAGAAAATTTGCTTAGAGTTACACGTAGAATCCTCCTATGCTATATGCGCATAGTAAAAAAAAACAAATTGACCCGCCCTAATGTACATATAAATTTGTACATGCATGCATATATTCACATACCATATTGTCTGTATGCAGTTGTGCCTGTGTTTGTCATGTGTTAAAGGCATTGTCAAAGGGAAATGGCCAATGTGGCATACTAGACAATAGATTTGCTAGCAAGTGCTTACATAAAATGGTTCTGGGTCAAAAACTTCATTGTTCACAGAAATGTAAAAAAGTTGCATATCAGAATGCATTTTTGTTAGTTATACATAGACAAGAGACGTCTAGAGATATTCTTAAAATGCTGGCTATAACAGCGTCTGTTAAAAAAATTTAAAGTTATTAAAGAAAATTTAAAATGTGGAAAGTGTTTTGAAAATTCCCAATTCAAAAATATTTTTGATTGAGATTGCCACCCACTTTCTATCGTATATTTATTAAATATTTTGTTTAGAAAATTAAGATAAATATTACTCTTTATGAGTGTTTAGCTTTGCATAACGACTGCTGAGTGGAAGGTCGACCTATCTTGGCAGGCAGTTCGAAAATGCACTACCTCAAAAAACGCTTAAAGAACGCCCTATTTCAGAATTTAGTTGAAGAACGTCCTATTTCAGAATTCGTTTCAAAAACGCCTTATCTCCTTACCTTTTCAATACATTTTAATGTGAGTTAGGGCATTTTTAAACCGAATTCTGAGATAGGGAACTCTTCAACCAAATTCTGAGATAGGATGTTTTTCAATAAAATTCTGAAATAGGGCTTTCTTGAAAAGTTTTATGAGATAGGGCGTTTTAGATTTGGCTGCCGATATAGGTCAATCTTCCATTCAGCAGTCGATATATAGTAAATGTTGGCGGCGCTTAATATATTAGGGTAAGGATGCCACTTATTCTCGATTATACAAAATTTAACTAAAATAACTTAATATGGATAATGGAAATGAAAGGTATTTTTGAGAGCTTTAATGGAGAGCTATTTTCGTTGAGGACTACCAGGTTTGTTTGATATAAATTTATATCTTACTAATTTCAACGAGCATACATAGTAAATTTGCAAGCACAATATGTACTATTCAACCTAGCGTTTTTGTTAATAGGGCTAAAATTTGATGTCAAATATGTTTAAAATTTATAAGATTCAAAAAGTAAAATTTTTTTAATTTGTTACAAAACCATTATTTTTGTAGAATTCTGATGTACTGACAGGGCAGAAATATTCTTATTAATTAACATTATTTTTTCAAAGTTTTTTATTTTCATTTTGTTTCAATATTTATTGAGGTACTTTTTATAGGCGTAAATATTAACACGCATTGATGATATTTTTGTTGTCGACATATATAATTTGTATGGAAAGAGGTATTGAATAAGTGTAACGTAAAATAACAAATTGTGATTTTCAATTTCTAAACAGGTGGCAAGCCTATTAAAGTATTTTCGAAATAAAGCTCTCCTAAACTTCCTCCATTTGAAACCCACAAAGAAATAAAACAGTTAACTTTTTAATTAAAGTGATTTTATATTTTCTAACCATCTGGCAACCCTCATTAAAAATATTATTGAAATAAAGCTTTTTTAAATCTCTCTCGTTTGATAATCATATGAAAATATTTGATTTAACTTTTTGGTTGTTG